TCCCATTTTCTTTTCCTGTATCATGGATTTAAATATTGCGTAGGGCAAACTTGGCAGCCACACAGAGAATCTCATTTAGAAAGATTAACCTGTGAACACAGAGGGATCTGGAGGGTCTCTGTTTGTCCACTCCTTGATGCACAGGATTTAAACAGGATAATTATATTCAGCAAACATAAACACATACACTCAAAAAGTAACATATACATGCATTAAATGAGGCAATACCTTATCTTATTTAGAACAGACTCCCTCAGCTGTTTGTTTTCCTTTTATTTTGGTTATACATTTTAATGATTATAAAAATTAAAAGAAATCACAAGTGGTAAGCAGATTTGAGCTAAAGAACTTATTCCAAGGGAAAACATTTTTAGTTCTTATACAAACAAATACAATGATTAATGTTGATGTCTTGTGCTCCCCAAGCTGTCACTGGTGAGCAAGGAGCAAAGGGTCAAGGCTGGCCATTTGTATTCAATAACATTTGAAAACATAAAGGACAGTCTCTAAACTCCCAAATGTTTTCTGGATAATCAAATCTGCTCTAACCAAAATAGCAAAAAAATGAAAGTCTAAATCACACATATTTAACAGAACATGTTATCACATGAAACAAAACCAAAAAATGTGTTCCCCATGGATGCCACTCAAAAAATCAGCCCTTTGCTCAGAAGGTCTTGCCCAGAGCTCAGTCAAGATCTGCATTTCCAAAGGCTTTGGACTGGGCATAGACTGATAGGGCAGAGAAGAGGGCAGAGAAGGAACCAGCTAATTCTAGGCCTGATCTCAGTATTTTGTAGTGATTGACATGGTTATTTTCACCATGGCTGGACCAAGTCCTAAGAGAAAGTCTTGCTGAACTATTCTGCCCAAACCTTTAGGGAAACCAAAGCAGCCAGGTTTCCCTTCCCACCGAGCTGACTCCCTGTCCCCCCACAGAGTGTACCTGGGCTCCTGGTGCCACACACACCCTGAGGCTGCCAGCAATGGAAACAGCTTCTCTGCTTCTCACAAGCAGCAGCCCTTGCTGGGAATAGGGAGCTTGCCAGGCAGAGATAACAATACAGCAAAGCTTTGGACGGAAGAAAGAAGTTGGCTACATCACAGCCAACATGAAGAAAGATCCTCCTGGAACTATTCCAACTATTCTCCATTTAAACATTCAGGCTTTTTCTCTCAGCACTCTTTCCACACTCCCCCCCAGAGATCTCATGCTATTCACTGTGGAGTCTAAAGTCACCTGCTCTTAGCTGGGCTTGGCACTGACTACCACAAATGCTGCTTCAGAGATGCAGAAGCAGAGAGAAAAGTTGAAAGCAAAACCTCTGACAAGCAATTCTCACCCCCACGCCCACATACATTTATCCCTCGTAATTCCTGGTCCATTTATACACATTACTTCCGCTAAAAAAAAATAAATCCAGTGCCAAAACATAGCTCTTTGGTTAAAAAAGTGTTATATTCAGCAGAGGTTTTAACTCTAGCATACTAAACACATTAGGATTTAACGCTATTGAAATGGAAATCGAGACAGAAACCTTTCCAGTTCTTATACTTCACTTTGGAATTGGAAGAGGACAACACTGACTGTAATTGCATTAAAAGATCCTCTGGAACAACCTGCCCTTGATAGAAAGCACTTGGAAGCATGAGGCACGACATAAGCTCTTGCTGATGTCTTCCAGCATCAGGCAGCAAGGAAGCTGACACCCTACTAGGGACAGCATTACAGCCTCGCTGCCCAGCAGAGAAAAGTCAGCAACAAAACAGAGCAACAGGGGCTGTCAAGACGATGATCCTTCTCTCCATCTCAGCAGACTCTCGCGGCACAGCTCTCTCCTGTGGCTCAAGGCAGTGACAGTTCTTTTCCCAGGCTCTGTCCTTGTGCAACCCCTATAGGGCATGAGAAGGTGCCCAGATCCTGGCAGCTGTTTCCATATGCCTCAGATCTCTGACAAGGGATTCTGGAATGAGATTTCTCTCCCAGCATGATGAGGTCTTTAGTCACTAACAAAGGAGCCTTCTGGGGTAGAATTCCAGCTGCGCCTGAGATCTTGCCTCCACAGAGCTGATTTTTTCCAGCACACAGGTTTAGTCTGAGGAGAAAGGAAAAGGGTTGCTTTTACCATCCAGGGATTTTCAGTTGCAGCAGTTGAAGGTTTCTGTTTTCTCTTAGATCAGGGTAAGAAATCTCTTGCTTCTCCTTCCTGCCACTTCACAGCTGCCGGTTGAGCTTCTGTGCTTGCCGCTCCTTTGCCTCAAAGGCAAACTTGGTGTCCTGCAGCTGGGCAATGGCCTCCTTGGCCTCCTTCAGGTCCTGACAGATGAGCTCGTACTTCTCTATCAGCTCCCTGTTCTCTCGGCGCAGCTCCTGTACCACCTGGTTCACCTCCTCCGTCTGCTTGGTGCAGTGGATCTTCAGCTGCTCTACCTCGGAGAGCATGATCTCCATGTTCTTGACCAGTGACTCCAGTTTCTCTTTGGACATGGTGTCAGGATCAGTTTTATTCAGTCTGCCCAACCCAAACCAAAAAGGGACAAAGAAAGCCACCCTTTGCAACATGCACCAGGACGTCTGACAATCACAGTCTTGTGGTCTCTTTTTATACTCCCTGCTGCTCATCCTCCTCCCTTCCCTTTCCTTCCCCAAAGTGTCTCTAATCTTCTTTGCTTGGTTAATCTACTTATTTTTATTGCGTTGTAGAAATCGACTGAAGGGCTGACAGCCCTGCAGTAACATATGTGCTGTGCAGCAAAAGCCAGAGCAATAATGAGACTCTGTGCAGCCTGTCCACAAAAAACAGCTTTCATCTAAAGAATTCTCTTGGGAACCCCTTGCAGTACCCATTAAAGTACAAAGAAACCTCTTCAAGCCAGACGCCTACTGCAGTCCTGTGCACCCAGTCCCAAGAGCACAGCCTGACTTTCATCTTATATAAATTGAGGTAAGCAAGCTTACAGCAATACAAATCATGTATAGGCAAAGAGAACTAACCTCAGTTTCTCTTCCTCTCTCCTAATCTTATGTTTGGGCAAGACAGAAGGAACAAAATATAAAATTCCTGGTTTTTTTCTCAGGAGAAAAATCCATCCAACAACAAATGCTGCAACAACCTCATCTCCCATTGAAAGCAGTCACAATGGTTATCTCAATCAGTGGCAACCAGTTACTGGGCCATGTACCACCACTTGAAGGTGGCTCGTGTTCTGTTAGGGACATGCAGGCTAGAAATTTTAAACCCTGGTACCCCTTCCCTCCCTTCAAGTCCATCAGTAACACTGGCCCCAGAAGTCACACAAAAACTTACTCCTGTACACACTTGCCACCCACACCAGGATGGCAAATGGCTGCTGAGCACTACTGAACTCAGAATCAGGACTGAGACATGCCAGTCTCAACACCCCGATTACTCAGGTCACATCACACAGCAGGGTGATCCCAGCAGCCACAAGGGATTAAGTGAGTCTGGCCGACTTTCTGATGTTTGACCCAGACTTTCTTATGTATCCAGTTAATTAATGCACTTGCCTAGACAATAAGAATCATTAATTAGCCAAGTATCTGATGTAACAATATCACCCTTGAGATATTACTTTGTCTGAGGTGATATCACGTGTGGCTCCCCAGGAAAGAACCCATGCTACTTAGCATTGATTGTCTGGCCAGAGACTATGGCAGAGACAAGAATGCAGGTTTGCTTTCGGGGAACTTGCAAACTAAGGACAGTAAAGTATGTCTCTCTCCTTCCTCCCTACACAGGAACATGTCCTTAAGGCTGAGTCTGCATCTTTCCAAAAGCTTTCAAATTGTTCTACACACTCACGGAAAGGCAGAGTCTCGTTTGCCACACAGCACACAGACATGGATCTGTGCTCACTGTATTCACCTCACAGAATTACATTCCAGTGCACGGTATTGCATAATGGCCTTTACTCTGGCACGCTGTTTTGCAATTCCAGCTCCCCTTAAAAGGATCCTGTAATGCCATCACATACATTCAATACCACACTGAGGGAGAATACATGTGTTCATGTGCAGAGCTCTCCAAAATATATTTTTCCTTCACTTTTCTCTACAAAATGTTGCTTTTTTCAGCTATGAAGAGCTTCAGATGCTTCATCCCACAACTCCATTGCTCCTTCTTCCCTGCTAGGCTCAGAGAAATAAAGCTCTTTCTTCCAGGAAATTTTACATCTCCTCCAGCAGTGGATGAAAACACTGCTGGATGCTGGCCAAGCCCTGACAGTGTTCAAAGGCCTGGGACTTCTCACAGCTGGAGGTTAAAGAGCTGCTCACAAAGCCAGCCATCCTACTGCCTCTCACACAAGTGCACCAGCAGACCCCTCTCAGCCTGGCAGATGGAGCACTTTGCACCACACTTTGAAATGAGCAGAGTGACATCCTTCAGATGAAAAGAGAGTGGGAGAATCTAAACATAATTAGAATATGTCCTAAAGTCCTTGAAGAAACATTTGCACTGGCTGTCAGCCCAGATCCCACGTGATGCACATGGCACTGGAATAGGCTGGAACATGCTGCAGCATTACAAAACAGCAGGTCTTCATTAGTGAGGAATCTTCCCTGTCTCCACAACTGTACACGCTGCACCCAAACACTTTAAATCAAGCAGAATTACAATGATGCACAGAGGGAGTGCCACAGAGGCCATCTACTTGGATATTAGTAATTGATACATCACCTCTCACTGTCGTACTCTCAAAATTATTTAAGTTGCCTTGGATACAGACAGAATCTTGGCAACAGAAAGGGGGTAGGAGACACTACTGAAATAACAATGTAAAATGAAAATAAGGAGTAGCATGAGAGGAGTTTCTACAAATAGATGAGAATTGCTGCTATTCTTGGTTTGATTTAAAATATTATTTGATTAAGTAAGAAGTAGGAATTAAAAGTGTGCTCACAAAAATTCCAGTGGGAAAATGATGCAAAAATCACTAGACCTACTGCAACAAGACTAACTTGAACTATAGTTTCTTACCTTTAGTCACTGCTGGACTCCACTGTTGCAGACAAACTGGAGGAAGAGGCAAACACCAATAGTGAATTCAGCTGGGGAAAAATGCAGAACAGCATACCTGAGAAAAACAATTAAAACCACAAGAATTCAGTCCACATGGACACAGAGCAAACAGCAATCTTAGGAGTGTTGGGGAAATAGCATGTTAAGACAGAAATTAGTGACAACATAGCAGGGGAAAATAATAAAGCATGGCTAGACTGTATCACACAAAAGCAGTAAGGGAATAAGGTAGCTCCAGCTTCTCCCTCCACCCTGCTGGACAGAAAATGTAATGTTTTGTTGTGGACATTTGTCATAAAGGGACTACGAAAGAGTTTGAAACTTAGACAAGTGTTCAGAGAAGATGCTGATATAAAAAAAAGTGAATTCTATGAACTAAGTTTAAGAAGAAGGATGAAAACTACATGGCAAGGTATTTCTAGGACTGTTTTGCAATCATGTCCAGGTCCTCTGCATGTTTTAGGAAAGACAGCTCAGCTGGAAGAATATTTCTGTAATTACTAAAGGCCTGGCTGTGCAATTGTAATTTTGAAAACACCAGTGATTTCTGTGGTCTCAGTCAAATGGTGTTGCTCTTGTTATTTCATAGCCATATTAAATCGGGAAAAATTAGTGTTAAACTTCTCACTACAGTACATGCTACACTGACAGACACAATTGGCAAGTCTACCAGCTCTTTTGTGCATGTTCTTTCCCTATTCCACCTTTCAGTCTGCATACGGGTGTGAGATACATGAAAGAGGGAAACATAGGGCTAGTTAAGAACAAAACAGGGGAGCTACCACTGGGAACACCCACTCCTGCTCTTGTGGATGGCAGGAAAATTGTAGAAAGTGGCACTGGTAGAAGTGAAACTTCTTGTGCTTTTCCATAATGGGTGGGAGCTACAACATCTGACTACAACACCACACTCAACTCTGCTGGCTTTAGCACTAGAGGAAAATGGCAGTATGAGGCTGCCAAGCTCAGGATGGTTCATGTGAGACATACTTGTGCTTCTTCACAGGTCTCTGAGCCAAAGAGAATCAACTACTCCTCTCACTCAGAGGCACACAGAAGCCAGAAATGCAGTTTTCCCATCACGTTCATAGCTTTGAGAGTCTGAAAAGGAGACACAAAAATCATACTCTTTCAGTATCTGTCTAAAAGCAGAGCACTGGTGTTCCAGTTTCTAGTGTATTTAACAGGAGCCCTGGGAATATTTGAGGAAAAAAATCATTAAGCTACTTCACTCTCTCTTTGAAGTTGTCTCAGCATCACAAGAGGGACAATTCATTATCCTAGAATTTAAAATGGGAAGAACGACTTTTAAATAACTGCTCAGGCTAAAAAAGATTGCTACTTGGTACAAACCCTGCAAAATAAAGCTTCACATACTTTATCTTCTCAGGCACATACTTAGATTGCTGTATCTACTTCTAGTTTTTCCAGTCACAGATACAAAAGTACAATGCAATGTTCACACATCAGTTGTGGGAGACAGCACTGTAGACTCTTAGTAGATAGCTTAAGGTTATTATCCCCAGCTAACAACGGTCATTATTTTAACAATTGACTTTTAAAAAAGACATACAGTATGCCACTAACTGTTGTGAAAGTGTTAGAACCCTCCAATCTGTTTTTCCTTGCAGCCTTTTCACTTATCCCTGATTTATGCCCAATGGTATGTCTAGCAGCCAGTGTAGCATTGCAAGCTCTGTGCTTCACCATCTAGGAAGTCTACTTGGGTAAATACATTTTATACAAAATCATTACAAGATGAAGTATAAAGAGGTCTCATCTCTTTCAAAACAACATAAAAACCCACTAAAGACCAAGCAGCACCTGGAGGCACTGACCATTCCCACACCAGGGTGGGAAACATTTGTCCCCAGCTATTCAATTTGTTTCTAATAAAAGACAAACACCATTGTTCCATGTGTCAAAATACTCAGCACTGTGTAAGACATTGACGTAATGATGATCTCATCCTGCAGAGTTTAGAGACTATTGATAAAATCTGCTCTCCTATTAAAACACAAGATTTAATTTTTCCCACTTTTGTAAGCATTAACCATATCTCATGCAATTTGGCAGAATTCAGTTTAGCTGCACATAAAACGGTATGATTTACAGATTTTGATCTAAAATACTGCATGAAAAGGATATCTACCAAAATTCTGACCAAAATTGTTGACACAAATGAGAATAATACGTCTCAGTACTGTAGGTGTTGAGAGAGGTATTAATGAATACAGAGGTACCTTTTTCCATTCTGCCTCTATCTACTCATCAGCCAAAATAAAACAATTAATTCAGCATAATACAGCTGAATAAAATAAAAATTGATACCTTTAACAGAGTTATTCCCAAACTGGATTGATTTCTCCTTAAGAAATCAACTGGGTAACATAAACACCAAGTAGTGACAGGTGACTTATATGAAGTTATAAAACCCCTCCAACCCTTTACTGGGTTTTTTACCACCTAAGAAGAGGAAGAAACTGCTTACACATGTTATAAAACTATTTAATATTTGAGGTGAAAAAGCTATCAAAGCAGGACAGTGATGAATCTTTCAGATTAAAGCAAAGAGCAAAAAATATTAATGGCTATTTTTAAATGTTAATAATGTTTCAAAACAAAAGCTCTTCCTAAAATAAGAAATGGTTTTGCTCAGAGTGTCAAACTGTAAAATTTGCAAAGCCCCTCTAAAAAGTAACACAAGGAGTTCTGTGGGGAAGACAATCCTCCACAGCACCTAATCACATTTCTGGTGAGGAAACTACACAGGACATCTCCTGGGGACCACAGGGGATTGTCCAAGGGGCTTTCACCCCCACAGCAGCCTCCTGGGCCGGAGGGGGTGCTCCCTCTCCACAGAGCCTGAAGTCAATGCTGTGAGAAGGAAGAGAAAAGAAGAAGGAAACATCTTCTCTGTCCCTTAGAGCACACTGGGGCTTGCCAGCATCTCCACAGCCTGCAAGGGCAGATCAGATGCACAGGATTCAAATGCTGGTCTCAGTAAGTCAGTGAGCAATGCACCCCGAGGAATAATTAGATCTGATGACAACACAACAGTCAATGGTTTGCCTAATACATCTTTCCATGTCATGTTGAATTAAGGGCTGCTGGAAAGGAGGGGAATGAGCAGAAAACCATTATCCATAATCAAAAAATATATATTTGCCCCTCTATAGATTTAATTTGCAAATAAATAATCTTAGAAATATTCTTTCATTTATTCTACAGTGTGATTTTTTCCTAAAGATTGAGTGTCCATCCTGATAGAACATGCAGGCTTCAGGAAAACAAACAATGTAAAAATACCCAAACAGGAAAACAAACAAGTAAAAATTCCCAAACTGTAGCTATTATTCAGTACATATGTACTGAAATACTGGCTCAAAGAAAAGAAAAGATGCCCACTGATTATTTGCAGGACATGGGGTTATGCAATCTGGTCCTGTAACCAGACTACACCAAATAAACTGGCAGTGGCACAGATGTCAGTAATTACTGAGAAATTTGATCTGGTGAGAAGAAAGGCCTCTTTTAGTTCTAGATACATGTGAACAAACACTCACGTCATTTTTGGTTCAGGATGCCAAATTCTATTATAATGATTGTTTTGACATGACATTTAAAACTCTCCTTACCCAGCTAAACCAATCTCCAAAACACAGCTGAAGAACTTCTCAGTTGTCTGTGGATTTTCCTTGACTACCTGTTGTACATTTAAGTCAATCTGCATTATTCAAATACATCAAGGAAGTTTTAGTTGTGTTCACTATTCAGCAGTATAAAAATACTACTCAATGTTGATTCAGAACCTCAGAGACTGTAAGGAATGGAAGAAGAATGATATCAGCAAGCCCCTGCTGAGGAACTACCTAAGAACAGTTTCACTTAACCATGGCAAGTTGTCAATGCCAAAACACTGGTATAAATGAAGGCTGGCTTCCCAGATGACTGCTCTCTCCAGTTTGTCATAAGATCAGTCTCTCAGCAAATCTCAAACACTATTAAAGTAGACAAAAAGTACTAAATTTTCCGGGGGCAACAAGTAGCATCTTCTCAACACTGTATCCCTAGCTCCCTGTCACATAAACAGCCTTGACAATCTTTAAGCAGATTATGTGCACAACAGCTTCATCTCCAGAGGAAGTGGGATTAAAAGGTTTATTGCTGCTATGACAACAGCCAGGTTCTGCTGTTCTTAAAATAGTTTTGAAACCTTAGCAGTGACTGGAAATGCATACATGCCTCCCCTACAGGATTCATCATGTACTAAATACAGTCCTCCAAAAAGAAATCATTTTATAACAGTCTGTTTTTTTCAAGTACATATTTTTATCGTGCTCTTTAAGCCCTTGTTACGAGCACTATGAATAGAAAGCAGTAAAAAAGGCACAGTGCTGCCATGTGGCTGTGATTACAGCTTTAGAAGTGATTATTGCTGGGTGCTGGCTGCAGGCACCAGGACAGGCACTGCCCACAAACAATAATCACCCCCTTGCAGCACCTCTGCACCGTGGGGTCTCTATCTGCTCCCTGCTGCCATTTTTGTCCTTACAAATGTTCCCCTTGATGCCCACAGGTATGCTGTTATGTCTAAGTCTGAATTAATTCCTCCCTCATAGGAACAACTGCAAGTAGAATTTGTCACACAGTTCATTACCAAACTGTATCAGGAGGCCCGGGCCGGGGTGTAAGTGTGCCAATAACCACATAGTAGCAGCACCCTCTTCATTTGAGTATGCTATTGTATCAGTGATTAGCATTTTGTTACCGAGGATGGTTAAATAAACCATTGATTCAATCAAATATGCAGCTGCTACACTCGATGAACATCCAGCTGTGCTCTGAGGCATTCTCCAAGTACATTCATGCTGACTTGTACAACAAAGCCAGCAAGAAGTACAATGTTTAATTCTGACAGCAGCATTACCTCAGATCAAAGTGGGTAACCCTTATCTAACACTATTGAGATCAGAAAATTAATATGAACACAGAAGTCTATTCATTATTCCAGTCAGTTTAGATTAAAAGAATATTTCAAAGAAAAATCAAATTGAATCCAATTACATTGGTACTATCCACCAATGTCGCTTGATGCCAAGCTGAAATCATCTTTCCTGCTGCATATCACAATTTAAAGCGAAACAAATACAGGTTGTAAACCTCAGGAAGTAATTGATTGTTTCCTTACCCAATTCTCCCAGTTCTGTTAGTTGCTGCCAATGAAGGCAGATGCTTTTCTCTATAGAGTCCACAAACTCCTGACATTTCAGGCCAGAATGTGACCTTAAACATAATTTTAATTGAGATTTCTTGATAATTATAGAATACCTAGCAGTAACTGCTATGGACCAAACTGAGCTGTCCATGAGAGCTGATGCTGTGTCAATAAAGGAATCTTATTTACCTATCCCCAAAAGACTACATTAAAAAATGGAAGTAAGAAAACACAGAGGTAATTAAATTAGCATATTAGATTATAGTTTCAAGTTGAGTATTTAGCCATATACAGCGATATACCACTAATGATTTGCCTCCAACTGGACTCTGTGCTGCTGATCACAACCCTCTGGGCCTGGGAACAGGGGCAGTTTTCAGTCCATCTCACTATCCCCTTATCTAACCTATCCTTCATCTGCTTGAAGTTATGGGAAATGGCGTGTAAAGCTTTACAAAAGTCCAAGTAAACAACATCAACTGCTCTCCCCTCATTGAGCAAGACATCCAGCTCATTGTGGAAGGCAGAGGTTGGTCAAGCATGATTTTCATTTTATAAATTCCTGCTAATTACTCCCAGTCATCCTCTTGTCCTTCATGTACTTGGAAGTACTTTCCAGCGTGATTTTCCACGTCAGCTTCTCAGGGACTGGGGAAAAGCTGAATAATAGTTCAGTAGCTGAATGTAGTTCTCCCATTCTTCTTTATGTCTCCTCTTGAGGATAGGACTTAAATTTGCTCTCTACCAGTTTCCAGGAGGCTCTCTCAGCTGTCATGACCATTTAAAGACAATTGAGAGTGGCCTGGCAATGACATCAGCCATCTCCCTTAGCACTTATGGATGTAACCTGTCAGGCTTCACACACTTCAGTATATCCAGTTTGTCTGCAAGCTCCCTAAGCTGAGCTCTTCCACCAAGATCATCTACCTTGTTCCATCTTTCCCTCTGGTCTTACTGATACAGGATTCCTAAAAGCCAGTTCCACCTATTAAACACTGAGGCAAAGAAGGGTGGGGGAGAGGGGCACCTTTATTTCCCAAGTCTTCCTTTTGCCATTACATAACTGTAAAATGCCTTCCCATAATTGCAGACTGCCTCCCTTCTTCTGGCCCTTTACATCTCTAGCCAGATGCAATTCTAGAGGGGCCTTTGCTTTCCTAACGCTATCCCTGCAAGATCAGAAAACAACTCTGTGCTCCATTTGAGTCATCTGCCCCTGCTTCCACCTTTTCTCCACTTCTTTTTTGGGCTCAATTAGGAGCTCCCTGCTCATCCACACAGGCCTCCTACCACCTATACTTCACTTTCTACTTGTCAGGATGGACCTCTCTTTACATCTTTCATGCAGAGACAAAAGTTAACCCACCCCGCCCAAAAAAATCTCTTCAATAGAAGTTAGTCAACTCAAACAAATTTGAACTTTGCAATGAATACTTTTTCAAAACAAAGAAAAACCCCAAAGCTCTGTTTCAATCATATTGATAAGAAATCAATTCCAAAATAACAATATACAACACTGTTCATGAAGTGTTTTCTTTCTGAACATCCTATATATTTTTCCTGGTAATCTTCATTGTGCCAGCTGGTGTTTCAGCATAATCTCATTTTTCGTGCCTTAATTATACCTTATGGGTGCTTTTGCAATAGGCTTTGACTGACTCTTTAAAGGAACACAAAAAGTAGCTTTTAGAAGAAAGTAATTCTATAAAAACCAGTTGAGGCTCTATTGCTAGGAAATACAGCAGCTACTTAAATGCCTTAAGAAAGGAATCTTACTCATTAATGTTGAATAAAAATAACTACATTGCAAATGTAGGCACAAATACTGCTTGTGCCTCCAAGAGCTTTAAGTGATGGCTTTAAAATAATGCAGTAAAGGCAAGATGAATCAGGATCCATGCAACTTTTATTTTAATAATTAGACAAATACAGGAAAATTTGCAATAATCTATCAAAACCGTATCTTATCAAGAAC